CTGTAAGCCAGCAGGACCCCAAAACACCGGTGAGGAATTCATAATTGAAGAGTTTAAAGGGTTCGGATGTATGAGGTTCCTAACTGATCTGATGTATAATTAGGCTTGATGTACAAGTAGGCTTCATTCAATCCTAAATATTTGATCATTTAATCCATTTGATATATCATTTAAAATATTTGATCATGTAGGCCTTTTTGAGGTGTCAAGGACACTACCCTAATCCAAACTGAATGACCGGAAAACAATTCCTTAATCAGTATATTGGTCTTGAAGAACTTCACTGAGATGCAGAGCACTGTGGTGACGAACTACTCTCCGTTTTTCAGAAATGAGCAGAGGATCAAGGTGGCGACAGAGAGGAAATCATTGGTATGGAAGGACCTGGTCCAGGGACTCTCAGCTGAGACTGGTGTCTTCAGAAGGAGTGACGTAATCAGGGTGGACAACAAAAGATTAAGCATCATGGGAAAGAAAGGTGTCATGGTAACAGGGATGTGCTGGTTGCTGGAAAGGGGAAAAATGATTTCTCATTCTTTTAATACTCTTTTCAAGATATCTGGGAGGAGGGGCGTTAGAGTTGACAGGATGCAGGCAGAGGGATGGTGCTGGCTTTTGGAGGATCCATGAACAAACTGGTCCACTTTGTGGAGGGCCATCTGGGGACTGGTAGCTCCATGCACAACAAGGAATCAGAATAACTGACCAGTCGATCAAACTGCTGTGGCTGGCTGAAGGGTCTAGAGATGATGCTGACAGCAAAAAGGCTGGAACTGAACCTTAGATAAAGTGCTGAAGTAGCAAAGTATGATGGAGTAGCAGAGGTCAAGGTGAAGACGAGTTGAAAGTAGGTTAGAAAATAATGATGAGCAATACAATTTCAATATGTTACAATGCAAAGTGGCAAACACACGGAGGGTGGAAGTGGGTGTGATCTGGAATTGTCCTCCTCCGAAACCATTGTTTCGAATTCATTTAAAACAAAAATGGAAAAGATAATACTACTAAAGGCTAATAAAACTAAAGGCTACTTAACCACATAGCATTTGCAATCTGACCTTTTGTAAAGTTTCCTCTTAATTCAGTTGGTGAAATGATTTGTCACCTCTTCATCTGATCACGTAAAGCTTGGGATGTAAAGTGTCATATTAAGGGAAAGAAATATTAGCATTCTATACTGTATTAATAATGTGTTCAGAATTGTTAGTTTTACTTTAAAAAGTTAATTGTGTTAAAATAAACAATTCATTTGTTAGATATGAAAAAGCACTAGGCTACTTGACATTGGCAACTATCAAAGATTTCATTTCATATCCAGAAAATAATCAATTTCCATACAGAACCAAAGTTGTAAACAACTAAAACTCTTTTATTCTAATTTTACATTTTTGTCAAATGTAAAATTAGATTCTCAAAACATTTGTGAGCCATTGCCTAAGAAAATGGTAAGGCATGATTGAACAAAAGATAAAGTTAATGTCATCTAATCAGAAGAGACCATTATGTATTAGTGAAACTGCAAAACAGAATTATCTGACAAGGGGCAGACCACATTATCTAAATTAACATTTTGCAAGCATGAACATGGAAGGCCACCGAGGAAAATGAAAGGCTAGAAAAGTATGGCCTGCATTTAGTCATCCTGTTGTAATTATTAATTTATGCTTGTCTGTGGTCTTAATGAAAATGAAAGCCAAGGGAAGAGAACAGGGAGGGATAATGTGCCGTGAAATTGAGTTTCATTTGTATAGGGGCCACCTTTTAACTTTCTTAGTTTCTTTGTAGGAAATGAAGCCAAACTGAGAATTAATAAGAAAAAAGGCAGTTTTGGTTGTTGTTTGTTTAGGATTGTTTTTGCTTGAACTGCTCTGGCTTGAATAATTTCAGATAGATTGTTTTATATGTACTGTATTTGCTCTTGGCTTTTAATCATCCAACACTGGCTGGTCAGTATAATTCTTATGCAGTGCTGTTTTTGTTTTACTAGAGTACATTATTTCAAATTCATCAAGTTTTTTTATTTGAAAGATGCTATTTACTTTTATTGCTCACTACATTAATGAAATTACTTATGTTCCAATTACTTCTTCACCTCACAGATTGTTATAACTGCTGCATCTACTGACAATATTTAATGCTATTAAAAGTAATACTTTAACAAAGATTTGCAGATGTTTTTTGATGTTAAGTTAACTTTTGAGTAATGTTAAAATGCGACAGGACTACAATTAGGAGACTTTCTTGATAAAGTATTTTTCATACTACGCTTGAACATCAGGTTGCCTCGAATCGCACAAAGTTTAATTATCTCTAAATAATCCATTAAGAGAGAATAATAGAAAGATGAGATGGGAACCCAGACAGCTTTTAGGGATTTTATTTGGACTGGGTTCAGAAGTACAGTCAAACGCTTACGTGTCTGTCTGTTACTTACCAACAGATTTATTAAAACAGTGTTCTTAGCCCAACAGGGAATATTGAGTTTTACACCCTTCCTTGTTAAGGCAGCTTAACAGAAATGGAACATGAAAATTCAACTCACACAGAACAAAATAATGGATAAAACTAACTATCTCACCTCTACTTACACCCCTTGCAACATGATTAGCTTGGCCATAATGTGACTGAAATGTTTATTTCTTTAGTTGTTTATGAGTTTTAGAAAGGTTGACAGCCCATAGAATGAAGCATTGCTTAAGAGCTGCAGACTCAGTGTTGCACAGTGAGGTTCAAGTCACTCTTTATGCTTAGTATGGGTATTTCAATTATCTCAGTTAGCAAATTAACAAAATTCCCTACGATGGTCCCCTTATTAAAGTGAAACCATACTCCGAAGAAAACACCTTTACTGTTTTCATCTTTCTAATACACATCAATCTTAGGGTCTGCAACACTTAGCATGAGATGGAAGAATGAATTGAACCCATTGTATTATTTGCTTAACAATCCAACATTAAATGACAGCAATTATAACCCAGAAGTAACCATTTCAATGAGGAAACTTTAGTGAAGAAGTAAACAAGCTTTGCAGTACACATAACAAAACTGTTTAAAAACACAAAATCCATTTGATGAAACAAAAGGCAATATCCTGTGCCCATCTCATCAAAAGTGTTAGTGAATCCAGGGATTTTTCTTCATTTGATGGCTCTGTCATAAGGAAAGAGAGAGAGGGTTGCTGTGCAGAAAAAAGCACATAAGCTATTAACCTTCCCCCAGCTCATCAACTTTATTTTGCAATCTTCCCTCAGAACCATTAGAATACCCTGAAGAAATGACTTTCCAATTAAAGAGGATCTAGGAGAACAGAGCCTTTTTATCTCTGACTCCTGGTGTTCTTTATTCCAATAATTTAAATTGGAATTGATTTTTCAATTTAGCTGCTGACTGCTATGGACACACAGCAGAGAAGGCCGAATAGAGTTGCGCTCCTGAAATATTTGTCATGGCGATGCACTCCTCATAAATTCACAGGGGCCCGACTCCTTAATGTGTTCTCCTCTGCTGCCGCCTCAGACAACAGATTTTTAGCACAGCATGGGTAGGCTGCGAAAACACATCAGGTATGACCTCTGGGGTCCCTCTGTGCAGGTCTTCAACAATGCCTGCAGCTTTTTATTTCTGAAAGAAAGGGAAGCTATTTTCTTAAGGAACCAGGATGATAGCTGTTTTCTTATATTACTACTGTATGTCTGATGTCTATGTTCTGTGCAAAAAAGTGCAACAGATTTTGTTTTCAATGTGTCCAGAACATCTTTCTGAACACGCTATTGATTTTTCATGTGCTGCTGTTACATTATCCACTACGATTAAATAGTGAGTGTTCTGTCACAGGATGCTTAAACGATTTTAAATATAAATCAACAAAAAGCAATGAAAGCTTTTTATTTTGGGACCAGGAATAGGTGTTAAGAAAAATACATAAAAGGGGAAAATTATTTTTAATTTAGTTTCAAACACGGAAAACAATACTTGATGTGTGCTTCTCTTTGAGCTACTCTGAAAATGTCATCAACCTGCATCCACCCCTGTAGAATTTATTATCTATAGCCACAAGAAAAAAATATTTAGTTATCGCCCACTGTGCAAACTCCTTGTAAGTAATCCAAGCATCCTTGAGGCCAATATTTCCATACCCTGTGCAGGGGGAAACAGTTATCTTCTTAAAACCTAATGAGTCAGTTAGAATTCAAACCAGATGGTATGTGATTTTTATAACTGCCCTTTCAAAGCTTGCCCTACACTTGCTGAAGTGACTGCCCTTAGTATAATGAGCATTTATCGTTTCCTTTCTATGGAGACCATGTTTAAGGGTCAGGCTCCTGGCTAAATGTTTATTTTCTCTTGCTGTTTTACAGTAGCGTTTAGCAGAAAGACTTGGCTTTGTGGAATGATGGTTCAGTTTGAAGTTCTTGACAGCAGTGCTGGCTTGTCTCTTTCTCTCCCGAGTTGTTTAATATAGTTGTGCTACTGGAAGTCTATGGAAGATTAATGAACACAAAGGCAGTGTGGCAGTTGTGAGGAGATGCAGGACAGAGTAGGCCAGCAACCATCTGTTCAAATGCCTTTTACAGCTCTTTTATGGAAAAAGCAAACAGCGGGAAACAGAGGTGTACAGGGGATTGCATATTTGAAATCCTGATTTTTATATTACTCTGGTACATAAATACATAAATTAACGTGATAGACAAATCAACATTTTTTCCAAAGGTGTCTCATTGTTTTTCATGCTGGACTTGTTACCTAGCCAACATATAAGGTTAGTGATATTTTACTACAGTGAAATTAAATTATGAAAGAAACAGATGGAAGGGGGTGTGCATGTGTGTATTGGGGGGGATCAAACTGCTTTCACATAAAATGTATTTGTATTGTTAAAATCTAAAAACTTGAATTCATACAGTATGTATATATACACACAAAGTATTTATGTAAATACATTTTTCAGTAAAGAGACCTGAACTTTCTATCGTTTTAGAAAACAAAGACAAAAGCAAGGGGTTAGTTTGGAGGCCACATCTAAATTAATAGATTGGTCCATCGTAGAGGTAAGGCAGTCTCATAAAAGGTCCCCCTGCAAATTAAAAAAAAAATAAGCTGAGTCCTTAGCACCAATCAAAAAAACACACATCCTCATCTTTTAGCTGGGATACTACAGCTATTTGCCCATGGGGATCAACTGACAGATTAAGCAGCCAATGAAATAATGGCACCATCCATTCTTAACCGATGTGGAAGGCCTCCGGCCCCGTGGACGACCATTTATGCGCTGGCGGGATCGGCTGACAGACGACATGCGCTTCGCAAAAGTCACCTGCCGAGACGCCGCAGACCATATGAAGTGGAAAAATCGGTGCAAACAAGCAGACCCCACATACAGTAAGTGGGGAAATGGGAAGAAGAAGACATTCTTAACCCATGCTCAATCAGTCTATCCAGACAGACACGAGTAAACAGTATAAATAAGTCAAATAAAAAGGGAATTTAATGTAAGTCTATCACAAAACTCTTTAATATTTGTAGCAGAAGTGTGGAATATTTTAGCACTGTTTTTTGGACTAACAAAAATAATTTTGTTACAGTATATCCATTACTGTGTGAAGCACTAACAGAAGTATGTCCATGGGCAAAGGGACTCGTAAACGTAAACTGCTTCTTTTTGTTTTTTAATTTTGTCAACCTCTTTACAATGTTTATAGGTTTTATTCATGCTAATATGTATAATGCAAAAAGCTATGAAGGACAGCATGTTTTTCTGCTCTGTTCTGCTACAGTGTTATTGGGATTTTTTGTCTTGGTTGCTCAACCATTTTACTTCTCATTCAAATTCCTGCTCTCTAAACACGTAACAAACTGACAAGTTGCTGTACAAATTACCGCTGAGCCTGCAAACATAAAAATGCCCTTTTTATTGCCCTGAACTACAAGAAAGTAAATAAGATATGCATAAATGATTATCAAATTATGATAGTATGATATTAAAATTATAAACTATGATAACATGAACAGATACTGTATACCTGGGTATTGATGAGGTTTTAATATAATCAGTTTTTCAAATGTAAGAGAGAAAAAACATCATAAATTTGAATTATAAACTACAATTATTATCTGATTTAGACTGTAAATCTATTTTAAACTTAATCAGTTTTTATGTTTTATGTTTTTTTTCCAGTCCTTCATACAACTGTGAAACAGCAATTAGTAATGAAGACTGTATGTGCTTTCCACAAAACAATGTCAGAGTCATTTGACGTTACACAGCAGACACAAGAAGAGCACTGTGCCTGACTGATAACATTGCACGCGTACAGGAGACATGCAGGACAATCCACTCAAATCCACCCATCCTCAGTCAGGCCGCCATCTTGGGATTTCTTGGTCTAGTTGGTTGATGACATGCCTCTGACTAAAAATGGTGAGTACTGGACTACAGGGCTCAATTTGTTCTCTAGATGAATGTCTTTACTCTCTGAATGCTCCCCATGTTTCAATTGCTGTTTTCCCCTCCGGAGGAAAGTAAATAAAGGAAAACTGCTGAAACATCTATGATAGACACTTAAAAAACATCCACATAGATACTTTAAAGTAATAATCCATAGATTTTTGTCATTTGGAATGTCTTCTTGAGTAATAATGGCATCCAAGAATCAAATGTTTTCTATATGGAGTATAATACTGTAGGTTTGGGCTGAACCCACTTGGTTAAGAGGTACAGTAGCCTCTTGGCCATAAGAAGAATCTTGGACACCCATTCCAAGAGGTAGCCACCGAGGTGGAGAGGGGATGGAGAAGGGATGGCTGAAACAAAAATGCAAACAGACATATTTGCTTGATATACTGTACATACTGTATTGTAAAGGTTGGTAATGATGAAGATTTAAAGTAGCCGGGTGAAACTGGCTTTATCTGTCTCTTTTCATCCAGAATCTCAGGTAAAAACGTCCCTTTCACGGATTGCCTTAGTAAATTGGTATTGTGTGTGAAACCGTTTTTCATTCCTCTGTCCTACTATCCTGGACATAATAAATGAGTCCTTGAGCCCTGGAGTGGAACCAGCCTTTAAAATGGATTCAGTTACATCTGTGCCAAAAACCAAACAAACATTGCTCTTGACAACTTAAACAATTTTCATCTTATGTCTAGCGTGACTTTTCTTGGGATAATTTTTAAATGCGCTGTTGCAATAAAATTTACCAATCACCTTGTTTGCAGATAACCTCTTTGAACCCTTCCAATCTGGTTTCAGATAATTACACAGCATAGAAACTGCTCAGGTTAAAGTAACTAATAATCTTCTTATGGGAACTGATTCAGTTCTTTTTTCTACACTAATTCTCCTAGACCTACACTCCTGTTTTGAGACAGTGTTTGAATTTTCTGACATCGCTTTTAAATGGTTCCTCTCTTATTTTACTGAAAACCATCACTTACCTTGGGGGGTTTAGTTCTGAAGTTGGTTTTATTAGGTCTGGAGTTCCCCAAGGCTAGAATCTGGACCAATGCTATTCAGTCTATGTCCATAATAAACCTGACACTGAAGTAGCTGTCTCTGCACTCTGTAATTGCATCTTTGATATACTGTAAAACCTTGGATGACTCAAAATTTCTTTAATTTAAACTGAGACATGACTGACAACACTGTTCATGCTACTTGAAGAATTTAGGAGTGATATTTGAACCTGACTTGACTTTTAATACCCGTACGCAGAAAATTGTAAAAACATCGTTTTGTCTCAGAAATAATCCCAGACTACAAACAATGTGTCTTTGACTGTTGCAGAAAAGATGATCAACACAGAAAATAAAGTTTATTATTATATCACAAGGAATAACCACATCCGAGAATAAAATGCTTTGTGAATGCTTATTGAGTATTTTAAGTATACTGTAGTAAGTTTTGGCTTACTTGGTACTTCATTAGGGGGCAGCCCAATGGCCAAATTTGAGAAGGCTTGGGACTCCAAAAAGAAACAATTGGACCCCAAAACCACTAATGCGTAAACAGATTAGTAATAAATTCATTTTAGAACATAACTTTGTTCCCAATTTTGACCTTGAATATTTCAGTGACAACGATGAGGTATAATTAAAAAAGTCATACGGTAGGAAACCTGACAGACCCAGGGCCAAGCAGGTGGCTTCACGAACAACAGGGAGCTATTGGGAGAAGCCAGGGTTGAAGGTACTGTACCAAAGTGTTGGGAAATATTGGCCGCTCAATGCCGTATAGGAAGGAAAAGGATTTTTTTAACTCTCTGTCCATCTATCTTTAGTTCAGAGGAGAAGTTCTGAAGAGAAACATTCAAAAGTTATGTTTTCCTTCTTTATTTTGATGTACACTGTAATTCAGTATATATCTCAGTTTAAATGGAGATTCAAATGAGTTAATATTGAAAGTTTTAGAGGGTTGACAATATCGAAGTACATTCTACCTGAGGTGTCAGTAATTTGTAATCATTCTTGATGTCATTTCCTCCCATAAAAAAATTATAGATACTTTGTCTCTCTCTCACATATCTTTTTTGCATCTCCCTTCCACCCCATCTCCACTCTGCATGGGGGTCTTAGTCTCTTTGCCCTGTGGCAGACAGGTTGGCCTTCAGCCAAGTGTTTTAGGCCACGTTTACTGTGATTACAATTTGTGTTCATCTCCTTGTACTTTCGTTTGTTTGTATTATCTTTACTTCGCCATTACCTTGCCCAAACTATCAACCGCTGTGCCCTTTTGTACCCTATGTCTTGTGTCTATTCTCGTTTTCCCTTATTTGTATTTGTAGTTCACTTGTGTATTTGTGTGAACTTTTGTGTATAGGGTTAGTTAAGGTTGTCGGGTACAATAATGTTTTGTAATTGCAGTGAAATACAGAAGCTCTCCTTTGGGTGTTAGGGCCCTATGTACTTATCCCAGTTCACATATAATGTGGACTTCCTTCTTCGGAAGGAAGCTCTCTTTGCAGCTGGTCAATTTACATTTCCAATCAAGCTTCTGATCAAGTTTCTGCTCCTACATTAATGACTACCTTCTGAAAATGTAAAAACCTGGTTTCTTTTCAAAACTCATTTTCCCTTTCCATCTTATAAGTCCAGTTTAAATCACATAATAATTGCTAATAATACCATTCCATAAATGGTAACATCTATATTTGGAAAACTGGGTTTCTGGGTTCACCATTCATACTGTTCTTTGTACTTTTTGAAAATTAAAAATTAACATTATAGTCTCCCGGTGTATAGGTAGGTCTTTGAATAAATCTAACTTTAGAAGCTACAGTATAAGACTGGTAAATCTACTGTTTTAGCTTAAGAGAAGACTAATTGTAATTAATAAATGCATTCTTCATATAAATAATTAAATATTTGAAACAGGCAACTAGTTCATTATAAAAAGAAACAAAAAGTAGGTCTGCAGATTCATTCACAAATGAAAAACATTTTGAAAGTTAAAGTGCGGCTTGACAAAATGGAAAAAAATCTTCTTAGTAAACTAAATGTTTATACTTGATGTTCTAAAATGCCTTTTAATGAAATCAAATGTAAGGAAGCTGACACATCAAGTGCTGCAGAGATGTAAACCTACCCTTTACTTATTGCAACATGAAAGCATACAAATACTACCTATTTTAATCACAATGCAAGCATTTTGAAATTTACTCACTTTTTAGAGGCTGATAATGGAGAGCATTTTCTCCTTTAAATTCCAGGTCGACTGTTTCTGCCTTTTATTGCATATAAATGAACAGTGGTCTAATGACCTACACAGCAGGTAAGAGTGCATTTGCATTAGCAATGCTCTCAAGCAGAATGTAACCTAAGGACTCATCCTCTCTTGACAGAAAACAATCAATAAACCACAGAACGGGGGTGGGGAGAGATCTCAGGCAAAGCAAGTTTTACTGGCAAAGGAAACCAAAAAATATGGTTAATTGTGATGCATTCAACAATATTCACATCATAAATGCATAAAATCTAAAAACAAAGTCTGTAATCAATGTCAACATTTGCATGTAATAGACTAAAAGCAGCAATATGTGGTTTTACAAAATAAACAATAAATGCTATCAGAAGAGTAATTATTTGTTTCGAACAGTATTTTGATATTTTTTCATTAAACGATTATAATTTTTAAACCTTTACAGTACAAGGTCTTAAAATTGATTGAATTGTTTATTTTTCATAACTGCAAATAATTTTGCATGTGCTATTTATTTGTGCCAAAATATTATTTAAATAGACATCAAGCAATACTTATTTGCAATGCAGAGATAAACTGCAGTCCAAAAAAGGGTGTTTTATTAAACTGTCCAAATGCTCTTGGGCATAGACCAAGCAAATGTTATGTATTATTGATAATCCTGTAATGAATGGCATAAAAAGCAAAATATTGATTTGAAGAAGATGCCTCATTTTTCTAATTTCAGCGAAGGTAGCTGCAGTTTCATGCTCATATCAATATAATATTACAGAATATTTATTGCACTTCATTGATTGTTTCAACAAAGATTGTCATGACTGATTTATGGCATTTAAGCCTACTAAATATTTTAAAAGGGTAAATACTGTATGTAAATCCATAATTGGGTGCTCCAAAACACCCAAGTTGACATAATTACCGTTACAAAATACTGAGCAAAGTTTGCCTTTAGTGAATCATAAAAAAAGAACTAAAATAATTAATAATTGAAATTTTTACTTATTATTCTACTTTTCATACAATAGTCCCAAAAGATTAAATACGAGAGACCATACAGCATACAGTATGCTACAGTATATTGACAAATTAAAAGTACTGCATACAGCACTTTGAAAAAAATGTCTGCAATATACAGTAATTGGGCATGAGAAATATTTCCAAAAAAAAAAGGTTAAGAAATTTTTAAGCAAGATTTTATCTTGATCAGAAATTATGTTCCTGTTCACATTCATGTATGTTACATTTTATTTGGTTTGGTGCCACAGGGGTAATTGACACTGCATTGGGTGTGGTCAGGCTCCCATTCTCCCCTGTCACACCCCTTCATAAGCTCTTTTAGGTTCCTTTTCTTTATCTTACACACTCTCCTCCGAGAGTGGTGATCACACTGACTCTTTCATCAGGGTAACAGGATACATAACTCCACATTCTGTTACTTCTGGGCCTGTTGACTTCGGAGTCTCAAGTTCACCAAGTTCATCCTGTTGTCCTCCATTAGGTCACTGTCTCACACACAACCAGTTTCTCAGACTCCCAGGTCCACCTCCAGCCCTGATGTCCTCTTCCCAACTGGTTGGGTTACACAAACACACACTACCTACATCACCGAGTCTCTTTTGCACTACACACCATGCCAAGATCCAACACACAGTCCCTCTCTAACACATATTCACAACTTTCCTGGCACCTCACTCTCAGACCCTTAGGTTGTGAACTCACAGCTGCCAGCACACCTCACTGTGCTCAGCCACCACTGCGTTACACCATGCAGTTACCAACACACCTCACTGTGCCCAGCCATCACTATGTTATATCTACACAGCTGCCAGCACACCTCACTGTGCCCAGCCACCACTGCACTCCCAGAGGGTGTAGCTAGATAGACCCCCTTCGCCTCCCCAATACCTTGTATTGCCAGGGAGAGGATCCCTCTACCACACAACCCACTCTGGTCCACACACAATAACTCACTAATCAAATCACAGCTCACTCATACAGCGGAAACGACCCTAGCAGGATGCTGTCCCTTTAAATCTTTCGACAATCTCTTCTGTCAGTCTCCTCGCAAACTGACGCTTTCACTCTTTTCCTCGCAGGCTACTCCTCTCATAATCCCCTCCGGACTGTCGATCTTCTCCAGCGGCTAATCAACTCTTTGTTCACTCATACGCGGCGGCACGCTCTTCTAACATCGCCCCGACTAGTAGCGTCTCACATCCACTACTGTCCTGCTTCAGCCCGGCTCTCTCACAGCAGAACCTCCGCATTTGTACTCTCACCACTGCAGCGACAGCAAGACCGAGGTCCTGCTAGATCTTTTCCCCTCTAGGAAGTATTCAGGCTAGTTTTAAACCACTTCTACACCTGCCATTCATTCACTTATTCACATCAGGTGTGGTTTGCATGGCAACGCATCTCCCTTAATCTGGGGCTCCGCCCCCACACCAAACACTCCCTGCATTGTACTACATTGGATATTACTTTATATCTTGATAATCTTGATAATCTCATTCATAAATGTTAGGATATGTACAGTGTAACAATGTGCTCATCAAATATTAACATGGACATGTGATGGGGTCTTGAATGTCTACACCAATAAAAGTACTTATGTTGGATCACAAACTATTCACCCAGATACTGGTGGCTCAAAGCATTATAAAGGGTAAGCCCACAGGAAGGACTACAAGTGAGTCCCCAAGACTTGATGCAACACGTGGTGCAGTCAGGTTGCCATTAATCATTACAAAGTTGGGTTCTATGGTGACTAGGCCAGACCATCACTCTTGAATCTACCCATCAATTAGTCTCTTGCACACACCAATCAATGTATAGTTCTGCACCTCTGCACTATGCTCTCTGACATTCATCAGGTTGATGTGCATTCAACTTTGATTCACTAATTCTTACTTTACTAGTGAGGACTTTGATCCACTGGCGTCAAATTAAACTGATGAGTTGCTTCAACGTACGTTATCAATGGCATGAAGATGTTGTTCTCTTGATATGTGATCTATGCAGTTTCTGGATACTATGATACACCTTCAATTCATAATAATAAACTACATATACCGTTCAGATTGTGCCCTTTTGCAATTTTATCCATAAATTGTTCTGAAAGCTCCTTGGTCTTCATTGTTGAATCTTGAATATCGATATCTTAGTGAAGGATCATACACAAATAAATGTATTTATTCTGAATTAATGTGAGCCGCTATTATTATTAATTATTATTATTATTACGTGCACCTCCTTTAGTTTTGCAATAGCAAAGGGTGTGAATACTTATAGTATGCAATCAACATATTTCAGTTTCTGGTTTTTCCTTGTAATTTTGCTGACAATTTCATTCACCAGTAAAAAGTGTTCAGCTTGAGCATGCAAGGTTTGAAAAAAAGGTAGACACTTTATTAATTGTGTTTAATTTGTATGTCAGAAAAATGGGATGTCACTGGGAGGGAATGAATACTTGTGTAAAGCACTGTTTTGACACAATCTTGGTGTCATGCACATGCCTTTATAGACTGTCTTTTAATTTATTTTAGGATTGAAATGTCTTTGAGTTTCATTATGACTTGATCAATATGAATTCTTATTTTAAATACAATGAACATGAGTCTTTCAGAAGACCATCTTGGGTTGTTTTTATTTTGTATAATATATTAAAGAGCATGAATGATGAGCACTGAACATTTAAGCAGGACCTCTGGTATTTTAATTGCAACTATCAACCCATTGTATTATGGGTGGCTGGGTACTTATCGTCAGAAGCAAGGTGTCATTCAGATCATCCTGGTTTCATTAATGGCCATCACAAATTATCTAATTGCTTTGAAATTCTTGTGAATTATACAATTATCATTGATTGCTCTAAAAAGATACACCTAGTAGAAGAACCTAAGTAGTGCTTAGCGAGTTGAAGGAAAATAGTTGCAATATTTCCAAACTACAGAGATTAGGCTAGGTCTATAGAAAGGCTACTCTACTTGTGGCCCTGCAATCTGCTCTGTTGCAGGACTTTGAAGCAAACACCTTCACTATATTGATCCTGCTTATTCCGGATCGTGGTCGCCGACGACAACGCCGGTCTCCCCAGCCTCCACTTAATGTTTACACAAGATAAACAACTTTTTTTTCAAACCACTCCACAAATTTTCTCACATGCAGGTATTCTCCAATATCATCACAACAAAACCATAAAGTTTGTTTCCACAGCTGTGACACTATTGTGCAATAAACCAATAAATTAATGAACTAGCACAAACCCCAATAAAAACACCCTGCCAGCACAGCATGTCAATATCATACATTTTTACCAACAAAACCACAAAACCATGTTATCATTTGAAAAAGAACAACCAGAGCTTTAAAAAAACCCCAAGACAATCGATCACAAAGTCACTTTTTATCTGATGATGCACTTCCAAACTTCCAATATGCATCGATAAGGCAATCATTAAGCCAGCAAAACAAGACCGCAAAAGCAAAAACCAGCAAATAATATACAGTATATATCCCATGTTTTTACCTTATACTGAAGCATGATATATATATCCAAAGTAGCCAAGTCTAGCTTATCTCAAAACCTGGAGGCTATTGACCGTTATTGCCTGTGTTGTAAATGGTAGTAAATGTTTGAAGCAGGACCGCGAGAAATAAGGCGATCTGATTGGTAAAAAGCACCGTCATTCATTGTATTTACAGCCATTCAGAGCCCTTAGGGGGTGAGACTTCCTCTAGAAGCCTCAGGCTGTAATCTGCCTGCCTTTTAGCTGTCAATCATTGACTCATAAGGGGTAATCAATCTGTTTTTTATCAGTTTCTTATCAGTGCTCCTTTTTTTCACAGAAGAACTCTGAGGTTTTTTTTCATTGCATAACAGCAGATAAAGGCTCTCTAGCAGTGTCTAAAGGGGTTTTTATAGCAATTGCAATGGTTTGTATTCTTATTATTTTCAATATTTTTATTATATTTTATTATAGGCGTGAAATTTCATTCCAGGTCCAGTCTTCACAAAACATTATGTAGAATTTTTTCTAATTGATCAATTTTTTCCAGATTTTTATCCAAG